CAGTCTTCTCTCCCCTGCCCCTTCTGCCCCAGCACATGCCAGTCCCAGCCCCACCACCACCACCCCCTCCCCCACTTAGTGCAGCCAGGAGAGGCACCTGCCTGAATCCCTCTGACCCCTTCAGCCTCCCTGCCATGCAGAAGGGGAGCCCCATGGTTCCCTGTCCTTGTCCCATGCTGGGCAAGAGCCCTGGAGGGGGATGCTGCCATGGCAGCCCCCAATGCAAGGGCTGGCAATAAGGCATGGGAGACCCAGGGGACTAGGAGGCTCCTTCAAAGGGACCAAGGTCAAGGGCTTTTCAGGAACCATCTCCACATCTTGGGTGGGAAGGGCAAAGGACTGGCTGCTAAGCCCAAACCACCAGCACCTCAGGGGACCAGGTCCTTGTTATGGAGCACCACACCAACTCAGCCTGTCCCAGCCCTGCCAACGTGGCTTCCCAACCAGGAAGCTGCAGCTATGCTGAGGCTGCTGTAGGGAAACCCACAGCTCCTGAGCCTGGGCTTTCCCCTGCTGCCTGCCCTGTCCACCTTGGCTGTGGGGCCCCTTCCCCAGCCCTCAGCTGGAGGCACAGGGTGAGGTCCTTACTGGCTGCCTGAGAAAGAGGGCCCATACTTTGAGACCTATGTGTGGGCCCTGGTTCAGGTGGTGCGGCCCCCAAGGTTGTGGTGGTCTCCATGTTCCACAGCAAGGGAGTTTTCTTCCTTGCCACAGGGGCTGTTGCCCAGAAGGTGATGGAGAAGGGGCTTGCTGTAGGGGCAAAGCATGTGTCCTTCCAGCCCCTGGAGGAGCTGGGGACCTCCTGAACTTGGTTCTCCTGCCCCAGCTCCAGACCTTGGGGAGAGGGGAGAGTCATCTCTTCAGTCACTCCCCTCCCACTGTGGTGCCAGGACCTCAGCCTCCAGCATGTGTGCTCCTTCTGCTACCGAGTGACCATCCAACTGGTGGCGGGGGCCAGCGCAGAAGCTAAAGGGGCCATTGAAGGTGTTCTCTTCCAGGAGTCCCTGATTAGGATCTATGATACAGTGGGGAACCTGAGGTGCTTCTGGTGTCATGCACCAGGGCACCTGCATCAGGACTGCCCCCTTGGCCAACAGCAGGAGGCACCACAGGCCCCCATCAAAGAGAGGGGTGCCCCCTGACACGGCACCCCTGGCACCTCAATCACTGAATGCAGCCCCTCCACAAATTCAGGGGGTGCTGTTCTTAGCCCCCAGTGGGGTCCCAGGGTTGGGGGGAGCAGGCAGCAGAAGGGAGCACCCCTGCCTCCACTGCTACTAGCCCCTTACTTCGCCTTTCCCAGTCCCATGCTGCCCCCTCTAACAAGAGATGATCCACCCATAGACCAACCCATGGCTGAGTGGGTGGTCTGCTGTCAAGGCCAAGAGGAAGGCCCAAGTTCAGCTTGGACCCTTCAACATGGAGGGAGCCCTCCTCCAGCCCACAAAGAGCGGGCAGATATGACAACCATCCCTGTCACTCCCTGAGCTGCACCAGACACCCCAGCCCAGGAAAAATGAAACAAGCCAATTCCATGGAAGAGGATCTGGGATAGCCAGGCCATCCCAGAGAGAAGTCCATGGAGGAGACCACCCCACTCTGCTGACCATGTCCTGACCTCCAACACCACAAGCACCGAGGTGCAAGCCTCAACCACCCCTGGGGTGGGTCTGGCAGGAGGGTCCTCCCCTTCCAACAATCTGGGGAAGGTGGGAGCCCTGGTGCTTACTCCAGGTAGTCCTGATAGGGAAAAGACCCTTTCCCAAGGCCCCAGGGAGGGCATTCATGCCACCATGGTGCCTTATGAGTCTCCTCCAGAGCTTGCACAAACCACCTCAGAAACCATGTCAGAGGAGGTTGAAGCAGGGTCCCCCAACACCCAGAACAACCCTGAGGGAGACCCTGCACAGACCCCCTCTGTGTTTTTCCCTGCCACTCTCTGAATCAACCCTGTCCCTGCCCCAAGGGGCTGCACTGCTCCTCCTGCCAGTGTTGGGGGAGTAGTGGACCAAGTGGTTCAGAGAGTGTACCAACAGGCCACCACCCCCATTAGAGCAGAAAAGGGGGAAACAGACACCCCTTCCCCAGCACCCTCCCACTGAAGCACGGAGCCAGGGGGAGGAGGACCAGGAGTCCATGGGCTCCATGGCACCCACAGACCTCTTGGCTCTGGTGGTCCCCAGGGAATAGCTGTTCCAGTTCCTGGAACAGCACTCTGGGAACAAGATGTGGCTTGACCTGGACCACTGTGGGGATTTGCACTGTGTCCTCACTACCATGAGGGTGCTGGTGGGGAAGGCAAGGGGCTGAAGCTGTGCAACACCAGGACCTACATGCAGGCCCATGGCTTCCACAATACATTCTAGGTATATGGGAGTGTGGTGGGGATGTTGCTGGGCCCCTGCCTGGTGTGGCCACTCATGAAGTCCCTGTTAGGTCTATTGACATCCCCTAGGACTGAGGTTGCTTAAGATCACAGACCTCAACATCTGTGGCTGCAAGGCAGGTCTCTATAGGTACCGGGTACTCTCCTGCCTTCGGGAGTGTGTGTGTGTGTGTGTGTGTGTCTGTGTGTGTGTGTGTGTGTGGGGGGGGGGCAGTACTTTGTCCTTTTCCTGAAGAAGACCCCCTGACTACTACCCCATGCTCCTCATCGATGTGGGCACCAGTGATACTCCCAGAGGTGACCCTGAGCAGATCAAGAATGACTATAGGGCTCTGGATGCATGGGAGAAGGGGATGGAGGCACAGGTTGTGTTCTCTACAATTCTTCCAGTCAAGGGGAAGGGCCCTGCCAGGAGTGGACGCATCCTGCAGATCAATGCCTGGCTGTGCAGGTGTTGTTGCCAGCACAGATTCAGCTTCTTTGACCATGGGATGTTGTTCCAAGAAGAAGGCTTGCTAGGAAGATATGAGATCCACCTGAAGAAGAGAGTCTTTGCAGACAGGGTCACTAACCTAGTGAGGAGGGCTTTAAACTAGGTTCACCAGGGGATGGAGAACAAAGCCCCGAGGTAAGAGGGGAAGTGGGAGACCTGGAGGAAGCAGAAGCAAGAGGGGGCAGCAAGGGAGGCCTTGTTCTTCCTGAGAAAGTAGGGCAATCGGCTAGTCACCTCAGGTATCTGTACACCAATGCACGGAGTCTGGGAAACAAGCAGGAAGAACTGGAAGTCCTTGCACAATCAAGGAACTATGATGGGATTGGACTAACAGAGACTTGGTGGGAGCTTGCATGCCTGGAGCACTGTCATGGATAGGTAAAAACTGTTCAGGAAGGGCAGGCAGGGGAAAGGAGGAGGAGGAGTTGTGCTGTATGTAAAACAGCCATGTGATTTCTCAGAGCTCCAGTATGCAACTGGAGATAGGCCTGTTGAAAGTCTGGGTTAAAGTTAGAGGGGAAAGCAACAAGGGTGATGTTATGGTGTGTATGCTATAGACCACCAGACCAGGAGGATGCG